TATTTTTTTTGTGTGCGTGCGTGGGTGTGTATATATATATCATAATTTATTTACTTTTTTTCTTTTATATTTATGACGTATTTGGTCGTTTTAGAGAACTAAATTGACATAAATTACGTTGTCTTAATTTTAGTTGTAAATATATACACTTTAATTTTTCATTTTTTTCATATAGTTTTTAAATAACTAAGCTTGCCTGTACGATAAACAGGTAGGAGTGGCTTAATACATTTGAGAATCGAAAATATTTCTACCATTATTATCTATCATTTACTAAACCCTATTGAAATAAATAGACTACAAAGAGATCAGCATATAAATAGTTGGTGTGAAAGCATCCTACCACGACCATTTTACAGATCACTACTGCTAAAATATTTCTAAAATCTAATAGGGTTGATTAGGGTGATATGAGCATACTTAAAGATTTCTTAGATGTAAGAAGTGAAGTTAAAGTTGCTTTATATTTTTCGAATCGTTTCGAATGTGGTGATAACAGGAATCAGTACAATTAGCGTAAATTTATATGCAGTAATTAGCGGTTATCATCTAATTAAAATGCCTTTAAATTTTTTTGCAAATATCATCACGCATGAATAAATCTATGGCGCGAAATTTTGGTCCTAAAGTAATGAAATTAATTTTTTCATAAATAAAAATGTTAGCTAAAAATCCAATGCATTTTTGTTTGAAAAACAATACGTAGAAACATTTAGTTTTGACTTTATTTAAAGATGCCATTTTTGTGTAATATGAGCATACTCAAATTACCCCGTGTTTTTCATTGAAACTACCTTTTTTTTTTTTTTTTTTTTATTTTAATTCACCTCCTCAAGGCCGAGAAGGCCACTACAGACGAGGAGGCTACTTATTTGTAGATATAACCCTCTCTCAACTCTATAACTCCGAAACACGAACCTTGACGAGCAAGGCCGCTGCGCGGAGAAACGAGTTTAAACGAGTTGAAACGAGTACCTAGTTTAAAGTCCTAAAATAGCAGTGAATTTAATTGCTTTTTAATTAAAAACAAAACATAGAAAAAAAATTTAATATTTTAACAATACTAAATACTTTTCTGTAATTTAAATTCAAAAAATTGGAATTTTTATCGTTTAAAGGATTGAGTATATAGTTAGTATATAGTTATAATAAAGTTGAAAAAAAACGAACTAATTTTTTATTGTGGAAAACATAGCAGTATTGTTTCAACAAAAAGTGACTTAAAATTTGATATTTTAATGATAGTTTTTGTTAATAACGAATCATTATATTCCAAAAATTAGTTCTTATTGTCAGGTTGGTATTTTTTTACTTAATTAATGTTATTTTTTTGAGCTTATTGTACTCATATTACCAAGTGGTCTAGGTAATATAAGCAATTCTGCTACTTTTTAAAAACCTTTGTGTTTTTAAAAAACAATTTCGGGTGCCCAAATATCTAAGTGGATCATAAGTACGGATCCCTAAAAATTGTTTATTGCAAAAATTTTGGATCCAGCTTAACTATTTTTGAAAATATTCCAATTTTTGCTTAAGGTGCTCATATTACGCTCAGTTTTTTAATTTTCAAAAAATGTCTTAAAACACGAAGATATACGTAGAAAATTGTTAGGATAACGCCTATTTTACTATGGTTTGAGATATTAACGTTTCTACTTAATTACGAAAGTTACACTTGAAAAAAACCATTTTTTTTAAAAAATAAATATTGCAAAACCATTTTTAATTTAATTACTCTCGGGTGCGTAACACAAGGAAAAAGGAGGGGGGAGTATAGTCTAGAGCAGCGCTAGGCAGAATTTTTGACGCGAGAGCCGCATATAAATACTGACGTGTGCCGAAGAGCCGCAAAAAATATGCTGCTATACCAACTTCATCTTTAAAAAAAAAAATTGGTAAATGCAAATTTAGATTTTTTATACAGCAATATTTAGATTTTTCTTAAAGGAAATTGTACTTTTATAAATAAACTTAGTAAGTACACAATTGATGTTTAGTATTTAGTTTTCGTTACAATAAAGAAAGTAAAAACTATTCTTTAAATGTAAACTTGGCTACATAAAATCTGATTCCATTTTATTCACACTAGGAAACCATATGTATAAAAAATTGAGAAAGCAAAAAAAAAAATATGTAGAAAAAATTAAGAAAGCATCTCCAGATCATTTTTTTTTTTAAATTAACACAATTACAACAACCATAAATTTTCTAATAAAAATAATTAACAAGATATAAAAATCTAAAGATAAAGTTTCTTTAAAAAAAGTTATTTTAATGTATTTAAACTTGCTTTTATTCGAATTGAACTAGCTCAATTCAAATAAATATAGTTATTATAATAATTGTAGTTAACTATAACTATTTGATAACATAAGTTACTAAAAACTGCAAAATACCAAATAAATAAATCACAACAAAATAAAAATTTTTTTTCAATGAACTTCAATCAAGTTCAAATTACTTTTATTTTTAAAATAAAAAAAAATAACTTTTCATCATTCAGCAAAAAATTAGACATAACAGAAAGAATTCTTTTTATAACATCAAATATTTTGCAAAAGGCCATTAGAAAATTCTTCTTGCATAATAACTTGCATAATTTACTACATAACAACTTGTATAATTTACTACATAATAACTTGCATAATTTACTACTTTTAGGCACTAAGATTTTAATTGCATAATTTAACTGCAATAATTTTTAAATTGCATAATTTACTACATAATAACTTGCATAATTTACTACATAATAACTTGCCTAATTTACTACATAATAACTTGCATAATTTACTACATAATAACTTGCATAATTTACTACATTTAGGCACTAAGATTTTAATTTTACATTTAGGCACTAAGATTTTGAACTGATAAGTTTTTCAAAATATGGCTACATGGTTGTAGTTGATATTCTAAGCAACTCTAACAAATGTTCACTAGTTAGATTGGCACGACACATTGATTTAACAAATTTCATAGTCGAAAATAAAGATTTACATGTATATATTGAACCAAAATTAAAATAAGTTTTATACTAATCCTTTTTAGTTGAGGATACTTATCTTATTTATCCAAAAATCCAATAAAGTTAGTGTTTTATGCATCTCCATGAAGATTTTGATCTTCTTGGGGATCTAATAATTTCATTTCAAATTGAGATGTTTCTTTAAGTATGTTTCCTGGGATTGGACAATCATTAATAATACCTGTTTTAAGAGTCTTTAAATAAGTTCTGGAATTTTTTCCGGTATGATTCAATCATCATAGGATTAGGATTATGAATCATCTTTAAGGTGAGATCTTTCTGAAATAGAGCAATTTTTTTTTAAAAACTAAATATAGTCTAAGCAAAATCAAACATATTTTTTTAGTTTTTGTCCCCAAACCCTAGAAATTCTGTGATTGCTAAAATAGCTTATTGCATAACAAATGTATTTTTAAAGTTCAAAAGACATTTAGAACGTTTTTTAAACGTTTATTTAAACGTTTTTTAAAAGACATTTTTTTAAGACCAATTTTGTATAACTATACTTAAACGGAAAGTCTTATTTAAGTCATTTTACAACGTCTTAAGAATGTCCTGAAAGGAGGTCTTTAATCTAGAATCAGTTTAATGCGTCTGAGATATTCCGTCTGAACGTTCCTTTCTCGCTGGGCTTTGATATGAACTTTCTTTGATAAATTAGATTTGATAATTAATGTGATTGATATATTTTTTTCTACACACACATATTAAAAGCTTTTTTAAAAGCTGAAAAGAAAAAAACGATATGTAAAAATAGTTACACAACCAATTGCCTTTATATAATTATTGAAAATATATATTCTAAACCAGTGGTAGTCAACCTGATCCCAACTGCTCAGCAGCGGTATGAAAACGTCGATTACCCCTGCTCTGAATAATCATCAATGATTGTTATACAAGCAATTCCTTTTGGACAAATATTTAAATACTCTCTTTATACACGAAATATTTGTAATACTCTCTTTATACAATCATTAATCATTGCAAAATTATTCTTTTGGAGACAAATTCCACTAAACTAACGATAGTTAAGATACGAGAAACTTTGAACAGTATATAAATCATTGTAATATATATATATATATATATATATATATATATATATATATATATATATACACACACACACACACACAACACGTAAATAAAAGTTAAACAAAAATCAACATGAATTTATTTGCTTTATTAATAACGATAAAAACATTACAAAAAAAAAAAAAAAATACATTAAGAATAAAATCGCGAGTTTTTACTTATTATTTTTAATGAAAAAAGATTAAAACACATGCATGCGTGGTGAAATGTTAAAAAACAATCAGAAAAAAATGAACTTGATATAGAAGAAGAGTTCCATTTTATTCAAATTCATGTTACAGAAATTAATGAATACAAAAAGAAAGACATAAAAAGCATCAACAATATAATAGAACAACAGTGATGTTAGCCTCGCAAATTTTCAAAGTGTTTTGTGATTGTAGAGGATAAACTATAGACATATTTTTTGTTTCGTGGGAATAAACAAGTGATAATACTAACAGATGCCATATAAAAGATTATAACTATATTTTTCTTATTAAATTTGTTCGAACAATCTAACTTATTTCTATTTATTTTACAAATAATTTTTTAGTAAGAGAAATTCATATTCCATTATAGTGATCTAATAATATATTATTTAAAAAAGATCTTAATAATTTTCAAATGTTTTAATGCAAAAGCCCATCTCTTAAACCCAACAAATCTAATATTTCTAATATAATGACTCATTCCTTAAATCTTTAATAGATCTATTGTAATAACTAATTTCTATTTAACAGGACTATATAAAATTTGTGGATTTACTTCACCTATGTAAAATAATAAATTGACAATTTATACTGAAAAAATCTATTTTATTAAAAAAAAATGATTGTAGTTTTGTCCAAACTTTGGAAAAACAAAGGAAAATAATGTTAATGTAACTAAGGTAACATACCTGTCATACATACAATTAGGTTTAAAAGAGTGGTTAGCTTTATGTCCAAGGGATGCTTTATAAAATTTCAAATCATTCCAAGGTTTTGGTACATCAATAACAACCTGAAAATAAGATTAGCATGTGCAAAAAAACAATATTTTGATTTCTTATTTTGCCAAATATTTCAAACCTCTTGATCCAAAGAAATTGTATTGTCATTGTATAGCCAATCTCGTTCATCTACCTGTAATGAAAATTAATTTTAATATAAAAGACAGAAATAGAAGAAAGTGAGAGGGCTGTTATGTTATAATTATGTATTTTGTGTGAACAGAAGTGTTAGAAACAACTTTTGCTACTTGTTCTTTGGTTAAAATTAGGAAAAAAAATTGGGTTTCAAAAATTTCTTGCTTGGCTTCAAGTAACATGATTTCATCACTATTACCACTATTACATTCAGCAAAAGTAATGTGTCAGGAAAGAGCTTGTCAAGTGGAACATCAAGCATGTAAAATCAATATGCTAGAAATGTGTTTTTTGCAAAATAAAAAATTTTAATGGGTGACAGGAATAGTATCGAATATATTAAAAAGGCCTAATTTTTTCAAAAAAAAAAAAAGGAATACTGTCGCAAATAGTAAAAAAATAAGTGTCGCAAATAGTATTTATTTACTATATATCTAATAAGTTAATATAGAAGACCAGAAATAGTTTAAAAAGTTAAAAATGACTTTTATTTAAAATTGATAGATTGCCTACCTAAATCAAAACCCTCAGATGTATAAACACTTCCTGGATGTTCTATCTCTTTAGTCAGTTGATGTATGTACACCCCCTGCATGATCTATATATTTAAATTAGCTTACTTCTTTATTTTGTTTTCAACATTTTTCATTAAATTTATTTGCAACATTATTCCTTATTCTGTTTTTTTTACAATCAAAAAATGCAACAATCACTTCTAAATTTACAGTTTTTTAATCTGAACAAAGGGTCAGATTAAAAAACAAACTTGCATTAAACTAACTTCCTCCGATTATAAGTATTCAACCATTACAAGACCAACAATAGACAACATTTATGCCATAAACCAAAAAAAAAAAACGTTTTGGTCAATATTCTGTCAGCAACCAATTTTTCTGCAACTCACTCATTGAAGCCATGTGAGTTATATCTTAATTACACTTTAACAAAACATTAGCACCTCAAAAAACCTGTTTTATAATTTAAAAATAAACTGGAATGATATCAATAAATTAATCAAAATAAACTTGGTAAACTTGTGGTAGTAGATTAGTGGTAGAATGCTGGTTCACAATCCAGAGGTTCAAGGTTCAAATCCACCCTACGCCTCTAAAAATACTGCACTCATCCTGTTTCTCTGTGTTATGGTCTTGTTAAACATTCATGTTTAGGTTGAAGGTTGGTAGAGAAAGCTGGAAATAAAACTTTAAAAACCACTGATATCATAGAAACATTCTTAAAAAATCTGAAGAAACTATTGTCTTTCAAAACTGTATTCTATTTTAAATTAAATCTGAAGGTTCTTTATCACACATAAGCATGCTATTACATATGACACTTGAACAAAAAAATCAAATTTTATTTCACTCTTCTATTTTGGCTGATTTATGAGAACACCTTCATCATTAGGAACTCCTTTCTGGGATATCACAGCTTATTTGCAGATGGTCAAGTATCAAGAGTATATAAAAAACTTTCTTAAATTTAAAAACAAGTATAAACATAATTTAATAAACAAACTTTAATCAAGCAAACCACACAATGAGTAAATTCACTGTTAATTTTTAGGTGGGAAAAAGTTACTAAAGATGATATATGGTTGCTCTTTCTTGTTTCTGTTTTGAAAATGTTGAATAATACAAAATCCTTATCAACTTAGCAAAAAAACTGCACACAGCTAACAATTGTTCTGAACGTGTGATTAAACTAGTATCATTATTTACATAATTTATTGAAGTTCATTATTAAGCTAAAACATTTAAATAAAATTTTATAGAAAATATTTTTGCCTATACCTGTCTTTAAATTACTAAAACCAACACCTATTGTTTGCTCATAAACTTCAATTTAAAAACTTCTTTTTCGCAATTTTTTTTCAATGTTTAAAAAATAGCGTTAAACTTACAACAACTTTCTCAATTGTTAAAATACAAATTTAAAAAATTGAATGCATTTAAAAGTGCATACAATTGAATGCAAATAAAGTTGATTAGTATAATTATACTTTCAGACTTTGTGAACTCCATGTTTCTTTGTCTTTTTAAAACCCATTGATAAATTTATAGAAGGAAGTGAACTTGATAGTTTTGACAGAGTTTGGATCATACCAACTGCAACATTTCTGCCAACATATGTTGACAGAGAAGGAATGTTGAGAGTACACAGGAAGCAATGTACGTATGAGTTTTTACTTTTCTTTAAACAAACATTCAGATGAACTTCAATACACTGATCACTAATCTTGGAATTATCTTGAAATTTTAAAACTTTAAAATCAGTCAAATACCATTCACAAGCACTGGTTCTGGTCAGATATATGTAAGAAAAAAAGCAATGAAAATCACTGATTGTGTAAAAAATTTAGTCAAAATTCTGGTTGTGTTAAAAGTTTTCTCAAAATTCATCTTGATTGTAACAATGTCAATGTTTATAGATAACGGACATTCTATACCTTTGACAGATAAAGATAATTTGTTTTTTTTTTATAGAGAAATTATCTTTTTTTGATGATGCTGCACAGTTAACACCTACCATGAGTGCACTCAATTTCAAAATTTTAAGAAGCCATTTTGTATGTTTTGTGTTTTTCAAAAATTTCACAAATCTTTCCGGAATTTCCCATTTGTTAGAAGATTAGGTTAAGGGATTAATTATAGAATGCCAGTATTAAATATATGGGTGTAGATATGATTGTTGTACAAAGAGATGAAATTGTTAGAAAAATAACTTTGCTTGTGTACTGCATGCGTACACATTAATATAGATATTTTTGAGGTTTATATTTATCAACCACTATTATTAATTTAGATTTAATTCTAAAACCTCTTATTGTGCTTTTTAATAACCATTTTTGTGAATTTTATTTTATTTTGGTATTTTTCTCTAAACTTAAATCTGATAAATGATTTTTTTATGTTTTTGACAAACTCTATCCCAACACTTTTTTTGTTTTTGCTGACAGTAATATTGAAAATGTCATGGTGCCTGGCCCCAAATACAAAAAACATCATTTGGAGCCAGGTTTGCAAAGACTGACGCTCACTATGCAGAAGCATCAATGATAAATATGATGGCAATGGAAAAAGTCTTTAAAACCTTATGTACATTAAGCAAACATTGGAAATTGATAAGAAAACAAATTAGATAAAAAAAATCTCGCTTTAGTTTGAAACACTATTACAACTATTTTAACTTGAGCCTGTCAAATTAATAAATTTTGGTTTGACAAAAATAATTATCTTTAGTTAAAAAAAAAAAGAAGTTAGTTTTAGTTCTATAAATTTGTAAATTAAAAAAAAAATGTATTAGGTCTATAAATTTGAAATTAATGTTTTACCTCCTTGTGAGTAAGCCTCACGCCATCGTAAAAAGACATAACTTCCTGTTAAAAAAATGTGTTGTTTCTTTTTGTATAAATTCAAAAAACTAAAACTTATAAATAAATTTTTTTCAAAAACAAAACAAAATGTTTTCAACCAACTCACTCCAGGTTGGGCATGAACACATGAAAATAGGCCCTCTCCAGCATTTTTATTAGAAGATTGTTTCACTTCAACTCTACGAAAAATGGTATTAAACATCTAAATTCTAAAATGATATTCAACATAAAAGATTTATTATTCTATTAGCACCAGGGTTGGCAAAAAAACCCAACCCAAAAAAACCCAAAAAAACCCCAAAAAACCCACCTTAAAAAAACCCAATAAAACCCAAAATATATTTGGGTTTTTTTAAAAATGACCTATTTTACAACTGATAACTCTGATTTTAACACTTATAAAGGCTTTATTATCAGCAAGTGCAACCTTTATACTGTAATTACTCTTGTAAACACTGTATTTATATACATAATGGTCTTTAGGATATACCCAAAATCGATCAATCTGTTTTTGTAGCAAGTTGGTTATTTATTATTTTTTTAAAACATTTAGCAAGTTATTATAAATGTTATTGAAATATGTATTAAAACATTAAATTAGTTAAATACTTATAAAGGAAATAAAAATCATTCTATTAACTAAATTTCAAGACATTACTAGTTATTTAGTATCTTTATTCTCCTCTCGAATGTCTGTATTCTTTTATATTGGTATTATATTTTTTATTTTTTAAAGCTTATGTTGTAAACTGCAAAAAAAAAAAAAAAAAAAAAACAAAGCCACAAGCAAAATACTATATATAAAAATTAAACTTTATTTACAGTTTAGAAATGGAAAGTTGTCAGGCAAAAAAAAATGCTACAGTTTACTAGATTTGTCCTTCAGTGCATACAACTTTAAAACTTAAAAAAAATTAAGTTATGTGCAAGCAAGCTTGCAACGTGTTTGCTCATTCAATGAGAGAACATGTTGAAAACTTTTTTTATGCATTTCACAAAGACAAGATTTGTTGGTAAAAATGACACTCGTGCTCATCTGTCTTTTGAATATTTAACAGGTTTTGAATATTTTGCATCAGCTACAAGTTTACAACATGTACCACCAACAGGGGTGACTATGAACAGCGGGTTGAAAATTAACATCAGTATCAAGTTGCTAAAAGGTGAAGAAACACACACAATAGAGCTATATAATGTGTTACTTTGATTCAGTTTGCAATTTGCATTGCAAAACTGAGCCGGTAAAACATCTTCAAGGAAAAAAAAAAATTGGTGGTAAAGACACTGTAATGGTTCTTAACAAATTTACTTTATATATATTTAGAAACAAAGTTTAGGCAAAAATCCATTTTTTCCCAGTCCAGTTGATCAGGCCGATAACTTTTCCAAGAAGCTAGACAGTGTAATGTTCTGATTAAAAAAAAATGTAGTGATTAGGCTAGCAGTTTTCTTCTATGATACAAAAATGTTTAAAAAGTGTTCATAGTCATCCTGATTGATAATAACTTATAAGGTTGCAACATCATGTTGCAACCTTTAAGTTTTTAGAGCAATTAATTAACATCATTTATAGTTGATGGAGTCCCTTTTTGCACTATAGGTAAAATGTGCTAGTAGACTAGTAGTAAAACATTTGGCTCGCAACCAGAAGGTTGGGGTTCAAATTACTTCTGCTGAAATTAAGTCTCAATCTATTTCTCCACACAACGCCTTTGTTTAAAAACTTTAGTTGTTAATGTTGTTTGTTAGTAAAAATGGTAATGTTAAGGATTGAGACAAAATATTTTTAAAAAATGAGTTGCTCCCTTGACTGAAATGGTCATTGGAGCAATAGGGAGGTGAATTTATGAAATTAAAAAAAAAATTATTGTACTCATACAATTATAAAAATTTTGTATTTTGATCGATTTTTAAAAAAACCCAAAAAACCCATAAAACCCAAAAAAACCCATTTGGGTTGGGTTTTTTTTAAAAACCCTGGGTTTTTTCCAACCCTGATTAGCACTCTGATTAAATTGGTAAAAAACACTTTATATAATTTTTTGCTGTCCAACAACAATTTTTGCAAAACATTTATGAAAAAAAAGTTTAAAAACAGGCAATTAAAAACTGCGAAAACAAACTTATGCAAACACAAACTGAAAAACTATTATTTATCTGAAAATATATTTAGGAAACAATAATTAAATACTTTACTGATTTATAAAATTTATTATTAGTATAATAATATTGCACAAATAAAAAAAATATGTAAAAATATTTCCAAAAAAAAATTTAAAACATTTTAAACAAAAATATTTTCACTAGAGTATACTGGGTTTATACTCTGGTGAAAAAATTTTTGTTTAAAAAGTTAAAAATTTTTTTTTGCAAATAGTTTTTCTTCAGTTGATCGAAAACAACAGAAAATATGGAATAAAATTATCGTACACTAAAGTTAAGTAAGATATTGTAGAAAAAATATATTTTGTTTTTAAACTTTTTCCAGTAAGCACAAGATCTGTTTAATATGTCAAAAATACATATCAATACATTTTTTAGACGTGTTAAACACATCTTGTGTTTTCTTACTGGGTTTAAGCTTACACATATTTTTATTCGGAAAAAATGTGTACAAGCTTAAACCCAGTAAGATTTTCAACTTTCCAATTATGTGGAGACAAACACAACAAATAAGGTTAGAAAAACATGTTTTGTAATAATATAACAAATATAAAAAAAAGTTTATAAAAACAAAAAAAATTAACCTTGAGCTTTCGAAAATGTCTTCATCCAGAGGACTTTTTGATATAACAAAACTAGTAGATACATCCTTTGTAATTTTTTTACCTAAATCATAATTTTATATTAAGTATTTTTATTTTAAAGTGTTGTAATTGACATAATGAAAATAATAAAAATAATCATAGAAATAACAATAAAAACACTAATGTGCAATTAATAATTATTATGCAAATTTCAGTTTTTTTAGTAATGAGTTTAAAAAAGTAAAAAAACTCTTGCAATAAAATTAATATTTAAACATAACGAAAACCTCAAACTTTTAATTCTTAAAAAAATTAAAAACTGATACTAACAAAAAAAATCAGATTCAATTTGTCAACCTATAAGTTCTACAATAAAATTTTATACACACCACTTGGATTACCTATATTAAGATCATATACTTTATCACACGAAACTATACATAGTGGTGCGACAAGAAACTATACATAGTGGTGCGACAAGAAACTATACATAGTGGTGCGACAAGAAACTATACATAGTGGTGCGACAAGAAACTATACATAGTGGTGTGACAAGAAACTATACATAGTGGTGTGACAAGAAACTATACATAGTGGTGTGACACGAAACTATACATAGTGGTGTGACAAGAAACTATACATAGTGGTATGACAAGAAACTATACATAGTGGTGTGACACGAAACTATACATAGTGGTGTGACAAGAAACTATACATAGTGGTGTGACAAGAAACTATACATAGTGGTGTGACAAGAAACTATACATAGTGGTGCGACAAGAAACTATACATAGTGGTGTGAAATGAAACTATACATAGTGGTGTGACAAGAAACTATACATAGTGGTGTGAAATGAAACTATACATAGTGGTGTGACAAGAAACTATACATAGTGGTGTGAAATGAAACTATACATAGTGGTGTGAAATGAAACTATACATAGAACAAAAATTGAAAAAACAAGAACTAAAATGACATTTAAAAACATTTCATTTTCTTCTACAATTTAGCACATTTTTTGTGAAGAAATTTATTTAAAAACTTTGGCATATAAAATTCGCCGAATGGTCACACACGAGCACTGAACGCCTAAGGGAAGAAATGAAGTAAATTAAAATAAAGGAGAGTTATTTATTAGACAAAGCATATTTTGACAGTTGTCAAGACAAAAATAAAGATTAATAGAGGAATATTTAAAAATAAATAAGACAGGCTATACACCCAAAACAGTACTCAACAATAATAACAATATAAAAAAAAAAAAAAAAAATTGTTTTTACAATTTAGCACTTTTTTTTGTGAAAAAATTTAATAGGGTTGTTTTAAATTCAAAAATCTAAACTTATTTTTGATTGTTACAATTTTTCACTTTATTTTCAATATTTAATATGTACAAAGATAATACTATATACTACAATATTTAATATGTACAAAGATAATACTATATACTACAATATTTAATATGTACAAAGATACATATATACATATTTAATATGTATAAAGATACATTCTGAGGTGAAATGATAATGAAGTATGAACTAAAAATCAAATAATTCCTTCTTAAAACCTCTTTATTTGTATGTTAACAATAATCAAAAAAACATTTAAATTTTAAAATACATATTTTTAAAGAGAAAAAAGAACAGAAGAAATTCACTAGAGCAGAACTATATTCTAGAACAAAATCTAATTCTAAAAGAAGCAAAGGACTGCATACCTTTAATTGTCTTGTATGAAAATGGATTAAATTCATCTCCTACACCACTATAAACTGCAGGATAAGCACAAACTAATTCTCCATCCTAATATTTAACCATAAAAATAATTTTAAAAATTTATCAAAACCTAACAAAAGTAATATTATAAAATATAATAGTAATAATATATATAAAAATAATAGTAGCCCGTATTTCAGTATGACATCAGACTGCTCACCTAAGTATACAATATTATATTTAGTATTATATATAATATATAACATTGTATACTTACATATTCAATAATACATATGTATGTAATATTATATATAGGTGAGCAGTCTGATCTCATACTGAAATAAGGGCTGCTGGGGGTTTCAGTAAATACATAAACTGATTTAATAGGGAGAATATGCAAGTCACATAAGAGCAGGGGGATGTGAAGGGGGCAAATGTTTTAGGGCTTTTTGTTCATATAAAACACATTAAGAGGGTAGCAGCATACATTTTTCAAAAATGTTGTTTTTCGAGACACCCTAATATATATATATATATATATATATATATATATATATATATATATATATATATATATATATATATATATATATATATATATATATAATATGCAAGTTGATTTTAATAAAAAAGGCAATGTATAACTATTTTTAAATATATTATGATGTAAAAATGTATTAACATCAATATATTTTGAATATATTTTAATCAAAAATATATATATTTTTACATCAAAACATATTTATGTATATTTATACGCTGCCTTTTTATTGAAATCATGTATATATATATATATATATATATATATATATATATATATATATATATACACACACGCTAGTGTGTACTCTTTTAAGAAAAAGAGGGGAAAAAAAATTTTTGTTTTTTTGCTATATAAGATATTATTTGCGTATAAGTATATTTTACTTTGAATATAGAAGAATGAAATCTCACTCTGACATTTTAATAAAATAGGGATAAGCAACAGCTTCGATACAATCTCAATCAACTGAAAATTTGGACAGGCATGAACCTTATATAAAAGAGGATTTATTGACACTTTATAGACTTTAGCATTAAAAAAAAATTTATTCAAAATTTTATTTTATTATCCCATTTTAAAAATTGTAAACTTTGAATAACAATGCAATTTTCTAACAACAAAACTTGTTTTATGGCTTTTAAAACAACTTAATTCAATACATTGACAGATTTGATTAACAATATTATCAGATACCATGGATTGACTATACATAACTACAACTATATTTTATATTTAAGTATACTAACTGTTTAAAAACCACTAGTTATTCTCAGTTGGTTCAACCATTGATTCCAAAAGTATGTTACTTTTGCATTAAAACACATACAGTAGTGAACCGCCATGAAAAAATTTTTCAAAAATTCTAAAAATGAGTAGACTCCTTAACTGCACTTTCTGTTTTTAAGGAGGTAAATGCAATTAACCTTTTGGTTTTAGGGAGGTAAATGTATTTCATATATAAATGCACTTGCCTTTAAATAAAGTTCAATTTACCAAAAAAGATAAGCTAATCTTTATAAAGCTTGATTCATGAAGAAATTGAATTCATTTGCATATCACTAACATAGTAAGTAGAACTAGGTAAGTTAGCATAGTGCTATCCAAGTCAAATGATCATCTTTGGCTTTTTATCAAGTGCTATTTGAGTCAAATGATCATCCTTTCTTTTTATCAAGTGCTATCTGAGTCAAATGATCATCCATGTCTTTTTATCAAGTGCTATCTGAGTCAAATGATCATCCCTGTCTTTTTATCAAGTGCTATCTCAGTTAAATGATCATCCTTGGTCATCCTTGTCATTTTATATAAACTATTTAAATAACTTGTATATATTGAATAAGCACAAAAAAAAAAACCTAATTTTTTAAAGTTTTAAATATTTTAACATCTTAGACTTTCAAATCTAAACACCAAAACTAAAAAAAAAATTTAGTTTAGTTTTTTGGTTATAAAAATTAAACTAAAAAATTTATTAGAACTAAAAAACATTTTATTTTGAAACTAAACCATTTTAAAAAGAAACTTTTAAAATACCTCAAATTGACCTTTTGAAAATATTTTAAAATACCTTAAACTGACCTTTTGAAAATGTTTTAAAATACCTCAAACTGACCCTTTAAAAATGTTTTATTGTCTGGATAAGCATACACAATGTTATTGCCACTTAATTTTCCAAACTTGTTAACTCTTCCAAATAATGTTCCTCCAAACTAAAACAAAATTTTAGAGAACAACAAAACTTAATTTTAGCAGAACGAAATGCTTCAAAAAAAAAAAATAACACAAAATTTTAAGTTTGTTACATATTGAAAAAAAAGTAAAATGTTTAAAATTAGTAAAACAAAACCAGTTATGTTGTGGCTTTAAAATGTTTCTTGAATGTTCAAAATGCTTTAAAATTGATTGTGGCTTTAAAAGGTTAAAATATTAAAATAGACAAACAAATGAGAGAAGGTTGTATTCCAGCAAATGAAATAAAATTTTTTCGAAATTCTTTTCAGCAATTGTCACATTATAGAAATTACTAAGTTTTTTATATCTTATATAAAAAACTTAGTAATTTCTTTTTTATATATATTTAATTTTTCATAATGAAATCTTATATAAATACTATGTGCTAATCAATATTTTATAATGTATACTTTTCAACCCTTAAACTATTTGTTGATTAAAATGTGAAATTGGCCATTTTAATAATATTAAAAATAAAAAAATCAGCTATGATTGAAGCTTCAGTAGAATCTTTATAAAACTTTTTGAAATTCAAACAAATATTTGATCATCTAATTCAAATACTCAGTTTATATCAAAACAAAAGTTTAAATAAAAATCTGTTAATTTATTATTCTAATTAATAAATATTTCAATACTTTAGATTTTAATAAATTACTACTTTTATTTTTTTATTTGTTTGACGCTGAATTTAATTTTTTTGTAAACTCACAGTTAACTCTTTTTTTTATTTTATTTTTGTCTTGAAAGTCACATAATGCTAGTATTATAGAATATATTTACCTCTAAAAAAAACTGACAAACTCCTATACGCATATTGTTAAGATAATTTCCTTTGAATGTTAACTGACCAGATGCATCTGTTAAAATGAATTTTAATGTTTATATGAAAAATATTTACATCATTAACTATGACTATGTTTACATAGTCTTAAGTAAAAAAATTTTATTTTAAAAATGATTTAAAGTAGAAAAAAATTGAATAAAGAATAATAGGTACTTACTAAATTCTTCACAACTTCCATGCAACATCCCATCTGAATAAGTACCAACTAATGGTTTTTTTGAAAAAAAAATTTTAAGCTATTTTTTATTATTTAATTATTTTTGTTCTTTATTAATTTTAAAATAGTTTGTTTAAAAAAAAATTTAATATTTAAAAAATTTAGAAAAATGTTTACCCATGGTAGATCCATCATCATAAGTGTACACACCAACTCCATTTAAACAATCATCTTTAAACATTCCTGATAAAGAGCTACAAACACTTTGATAAATCTAAACTTAAAGTTTGGGTCCAGTTTTACAGCCTCAAGGCTTTTTTTTTTTTTTTTTCTTTTTGAATTACCAACAGTTTGATCAACTTAATGTAAAATTAAAAGTTTTATTATTATTGTTGTTGTTGTTTATTATTATTATATTATTATTAATTATTATTATCCATTATAAATACCAATACATTTAAAGAGTTTATATAAACATCCAGATGATACTTAAAGATTCTTAACATCACTTTTATTTAAATATTTTCATCATGTGTAAAATAGATCAGACAATGTTTTAATTTCCATTTTTATACAAACTCACTTTTAACTGAAATTAGTTGCAACTCAATTAGATCTGACCTCACTCTGTTATTTGATAGAATGTGGCCTCACTCTGTTATTTGATAGAATGTGGCCTCACTTTGTGATTTGATAGAAAACTATTCAATAGGAGTTAAGTCATTTACTTGATTATTTTGGTTTTTTCAATCACAAGATAAAATTTATCAATTACCAGCAACCGCTGTGGTCATTGATTTGAAATAAATTAAACTTTGTTTTATAAATCATTGCAAGATCATAACTTAACCAAACGGTTCGGTTGAGAAAATAATTAAAAGCTCTCAATTCTGTAAGTTGATAATACTATTTGGAAATAAATCAAAGGGCAATTTATAATTAATAAATAAGTATTATTTACAATCAGTAATATTACACTGCAGATAACTATTAAGTTGCGGTCAACTGCTGTTAGACTAAAGGCAATCACTATAAGGTAGCAGGTAAACACTATTAGACTAAAGGCAGACACTATCAGGCTACAGGCAACCAGTACAAAAACATTTTTATGATATATTTTTGGCTTTTAGTTTTATTAATCTATTGTAATAAATTTAACTACACAAGAAAAAATTATAATAGTTTGCAAAAGATAAACAACTGTAAAAAAAAAAAAAAAATTGTAAAAAGCAGATTTCATATAAAGAAAAATTACATTCGGTTTTGATAACTTGATGCTTTTATTTGCACAATATTTCTGAAAAATTTTTTTAAATGTTATCATTATTCTAGATAATAGACATTTATATTATACAGTTTAAATTTTTTAGGACCACGTTATGCAGCAGATAATCTTCAGTTAGGCATTTTTGTTTGGAAGGAAAGGTGATAGAGTCTATGTGTTGCTTTTTATGCTATAATGGTTAAATTTTCAAGCTCGTCAAAACATCAAAACAAGTAAACTTTTATTATTCTCACCTGGCTGTTGAATTTTTTATACTCTACAAATGTAGAGTATAAAAAAAAAGAACTTTGAAAATATCAATCTTATTAATATCAAAATATCTTATTAATATCAAGATAAAACTTTGATCCCTTATTTTGTTGAAAAGTCCATATTGTTCAAAAGTTTTTGTACACTAGTGACTTTTGTACACTAGTAACATAAAAAAGATTAAAATTAAAAAAAAACAAAAACAAACTACCTTCCATCAGCAAAGTAAAAGCAACCTCTTCCTTCTTTTAGATCTGTTAAACAATTATTTAAACATATAGGGTTAGTACATGCATGTATGAGTGTATAAATATATATCAAAAAATACAAATATACTTGCGCATGATACATAACTGATGGTCAGTGATGTCATACTTAAATAACCATCTACTGAAGCAGGTATGTCATCTACTGAAGCAGGTATGTATGTCAAAATTTATTTTTCTCATACTGATTAAAAAAATACTTTTTAATGTAGTGATTCAGAAAAGTATAGACTTTTGAGTTGAAACAATGCTCTCCCTCCTACCAACTTTTATTGGAATAATTGCTATGACCCTAACATTAACAATAATCCTGGATTGAAAAGAAGATTTAATAAGAATTTCAAAAAAAAAAAAAAAAAAGTTTTAATTTAATTTTTTAAAAAGTATAAATCTTTTTTTAAGGAAATTAAGAAAATTTCTATTGTTTGAGATTTTTAATGATTGTTTTTTCAAAACTGTCCTTAAAAAACATAACTATTGTTTACTTCACTACCATTTAGTACTAGCATGAATTTTATTTAAATAATTTTGGACCTTTGTAATTATTCCAATAAAAGTTAGGGATAGAAGACATTATTCAACCCATTTAAAAAAATACATTTTTGAATCAGTACATGATGGAACAAAATTATGTTCATGTTCCAGTTTCCCAACATCAAATTATGCTTACTTTGACCCATCATAGTGTATATATATATATATATATATATATATATATATATACATATATATATATATATATATACATATATATATATATATATATATATATATATATATATATATATATATATATATATATATATATAATATATATATATATAATATATATATATATATATATATATATATCAACCCTCGGAATTAGGTTGGCAATAATTTGCTGACCTTAATCTTATTAAGGTCGGCATCAGGTCGACAAAAATTATTTGATACAAAGGTCTGACCATAAAACATACATACATACATACATATATATATATATATATATATATATATATATATATATATATATATATATATATATATATATATATATATATATATATATATATATATATATATATATATATAATAAATTTACAGAAACCTGCTGGAAAAAACAACAAAAAGAATGAAGCAGGTTTAACCGCAGGTCTTAAGAATTTAGGGAAAATGTAACATATCAACTGTGACATCAATTCCATCTTTGACAAAGAGAGTTTTTAACCTTTACGAGCAGAACATAAAGCTGCAAAAAACTCCAACAAACAGGAAAAATAACAAAAAAAAATTTCAGCTCTACAAGGAAAAACTAGCAAAACTGTTTGATAAAAATTAATATGGTACCAGCTATGGAGCACCCTTTCCTGAAAGATCAAAGGATGCAAAGTGGCTACAGGTTCAATAGACAAAAACATTAGAGCAAAACTGCAGAATATCCAAAGCAAACAGAGCTCAAACCTTAATTATGCAGTGTCATTAGATTCTTTCATTTCTACCAAACCTATTACTTCGAAATGGCCTGCTATTGTTGAAAACACCCAGGTATCAACACCATCATCTTCAAAGTAAATGCGATTGTCTCTCCCTCCTCTTTCTTTAGCCTGTGACCGCCATGGACTCTCAAACAGATCGACTGCAGCTGTGGCTTCAGCTGTACTTGAGGATGTTCACATTATTTCATATGATAACAAAACACAAGTTATTGACCGCAGCAAAATCAGATGCGAGCGCATAAAACAAGGGATAACCAGAAAGTTGGTGAAATCCAAGTAAAGACGTTGTACTTTGATGACAAAAAAAGATCGAACACTCAAATTTGACAGTAATAGGAGAACCATAGTGATGGAGGAGCACATATCCTTGATTTAGGAACCTGCAGGAAGGTACTTGGGACACTGCTCTCCTCTTAGCGGATAAACTGAATCACTAAAATTTGCAATTATACAGTATTCTAAAGAGCACAATATTATTTTGGATAATTTGCAAGTGCTGGGCTGTGATGGAACAAATGTAAACACGGGAAACAAGGGTGGTGTAATCAGATTGATTGAGTTAGAACTTCAATGCCCTCTACAATGGATAATTTGTTTTCTACATGCAAATGAGCTTCCACTACCCCATTTGTTTGCAGAGTTGGATGGACCTTTAAGACCTCAAAGTCCCTTCGAACTTGTGAGGTCTTAAAGGTTGTTGATTTTCAACCTATAAACCATAATGTAGAAATGCCAGAGATGGACAGAAAAGTGCAGATCAACTTTATCTTTTAGACATCTGCCAAGCAGTATTAAGTGATATTTGTTCTACCAACCAGGAGAAACGCAATATATGTTTCTACCAGCAGTCCCTCGTCAAATTTGGTAATTTTATCGACGTTCATTATGCGAGTTTATGCCCCTAGGTGGTTCATCATTAAGAAAGAATCTTCTATCTTTCATGGCAGCAGACATCTGTACAGCAAAATTGCAAAATCACAATATCTGCCAGCTCCATTACGCAAAGTAGTAGACTGAGTAATTCAAATATATGCATTCTTTGGTCATCAAGACAATATTCTTCTGACAATGGAATCAGATGATCAGCCACATATCCAAGAATTAGGTGTTAGGCATATACAGAAAGCTAGAAAGGAAAGAATTATGAAAGCTAATCAATCAAGTGTGCACCAGCAGTGAAGAACCCAGACATGTTTTAGAACCATTGGACCAGTATGGGCGCCCAAAAAAAAGCGCCCAAAAATTATTTTTTTTTTAAATTTTTCTTTTGCTTTTTTATAAAAAATAGAAAATAATTCCAGTTTTTAATGCAGCATTATATAAATAATTTTTAGTTTATTTTAACTAATTCATTTTTTCATCAAGACAACAAATTGAAAAAACTTTTTTACATAACTACATAACGTAATTTGCCTTCAATTACTAAGTGACATAACTATTGCACAAATTTAATTTTTGAATGATTGAACATTTGATCTTTAGCTTGATATTTTAATTTACGTGAGGAAAACGAAAAAACAAAGCATAAACTCTTTCTGAAAGTTTTTTTTTTAAAATATTTTTTAAAATAGTAAAAATAAAGATTTCAATAACTTAATAAAAGTTTTATTAAAATCTGTTTAAAATAACCCATAGTTAATGTAATTTATTTAATAAATGTAATTTTTTAAAATTAAACTTAATTATATTAAAAAATATATTTTTTAAAATACAATATGCTTTTAATTCAAAAAAACACTTCATTTTTAAAATTTTGTTAACTGTAATTATCTCTTTTATAATTATCTTTAATTTAAAAGACGCCTTAAAATCACTTAAAAAATTAAACCTTTAGTAAAAGTTAAATGAACAGGTTTGCTAATATCTAAATCAAAATTTTAAAATTAAATAATTAGTTAATAAGTTTATTAAATGCTTATGTTATTTTTTCGAATAACTTATTAAATACTTATGTTATTTTTTTGAATAACTTGTTAAATGCTTATGTTATTTATTGTAATTATCTCTTTAATTGTCTTTAATTTAAAAGGCGTCTTAAAATCACTTTAAAAATTATAACCTTTAGTAAAAGTAAAATAAACAATTTTACTAATATTTAAATCAAAATTTTAAATCTGAAATAATTGAAAATAAGTTTATTAAATGCTTATGTTTTTAATTTAAATACAAGACCTAGAATTATTTTGTTAATTTTACAAATATAACACGATTTAATATATGTAAATATATTATTTAATGTAAATATTAATTAAAAATGGTTTAAGGTATTTAAACACTAAAATTAAATTTACTAAAAATAATTTTGTAAAAGTTAAATGAACAATTTTACTAATATTTAAATCAAAATTTTAAATTTTAAATAATTGAAAATAAGTTTATTAAATGCTTATGTTTTTAATTTAAATACAAGAACGTAAAACTATTTTGTTGATTTTACAAATATTACGCGATATAATATATGTAAATATATATGTAAATATATTAATGTAATGTAAATATTGATTAAAAATTGTTTAAAATATTTCTATTATTTTAAATTAAATTTACTAAAATATAGTTAATAAATGTTTAAAATACTTTAAACATTTTTCAATAATTATTTACTGATAGGGTGGTACTGATAGGGTGGTATTTGCAACAAATTATTAAATAATTAAAGTCTTAAATAAAATAGCTTTCTTATTGTATCTAATGTAACATTGTCCTCCAGTAAATTCCAGGAAAAAAACGGTACCCTTAATAAACTCTGGGTTCTTAAGTGATCAGTTCAAAGTTCCTAATCTGAATTTTATGACAAATAATACGTGGGAGTTGATTGATTGGAGTAATTTGCAGCTGTTGGAGTAACCATTAACAATACATCATCATCAGTTCAAAGTTCCTAATCTGAATTTTATGACAAATAATACGTGGGAGTTGATTGATTGGAGTAATTTGCAGCTGTTGGAGTATCCATTAACAATACTTTTAACCATTTTTAACCTTTTACCTCCTCCAGCTGCTCACTGACGAGCAGCTGGAGGAGGTAAAAGAGCATCGCAATCTACTATCTGATCTTTTAGATAAGTTACCCTGCCACACGCAAGCAGTGGAACGTTGTGTAAAGATAGTGATATAAGTTTCCACATCAGTTTGAGGCAAGATAAATAAAGATGGTATGATACGTATCTGTCTAAAATCTAGAAAGAATACGCCAATATTTAATACCAAGGCACATTATAACACTAATTAGTACGACTTTTGCTCAATAAATGTAAATATTTTGTACTATATGCACCTGTTCAATTCTAAAAGTCTCTTAAAATAACCTGTTTATAAACTAATATAAATCCATTTGAAAGAAATGATACTAATAATCATTATTTAAATTAATAAATATTATATCAGTGATGGATCCAGTGTTTTTTGTTGTTAGAGATAGCTAACTTCCAGACACAAAACAAACTTTAAACATTCATATGTTAATAATTACTTCAAATAAGGATACTTTGCAAAAAATTGCAATGATTG